CGTGGACTATGCATCCGAAGAAGTGGGCTGTAGTCCACGAAAGCTTATGCTCTAATACATTTGTTAGTCTCTAAGGTGCCACAAGTACTCCTGTTCTTCTTTTTAGGAGTTACTAATAACCTAGGAAGGAGATTTTGTATACATAATTTCTAAAGGAAATTTGTCAAAGCCGTATATTTTGCTTACCTGAAGAAAATTCTATTTGATACTGGTAGCAAAATGGATTGAGCTGTTTTCTTGTCTTTTTTTGTGATGGGATAGGAAAGGGAGAAGCATTATTATGCCTGGGGCTAGAACTTTACATTCACCATTATTTTCAGTACTCTTTCACCTACTAAAAAAAGTCCATTTTAAAAGAAATTAATAAGCAAAGGGAAATGGGGAGAAATTGTATTCTAAGGATAAGCTTAAATGAAAGTACTTCTTTATTGTTTGTCTTGCCTTGCCTTGTTCTCTTTAAAATGTTATTTTCAAAGATGTTACATGGTCTCTTTTATTGAAAATAGATCTGGCAGCAGAAGGAAACATGAGCAAGACATGAAAAGCACAGGCTGTCGGGGGTGGGGGTGGAAGATTGGGGAGAATGAGATTTGTACAGTGCCTAGCACAGAGGGGCCCTGGTCTATGTTTGAGGCCCTTACGTGTTATCATAGAATCATACAACTGGAAGGGACCTCAAGAGGTATCTAATCCAGTCCCCTGCACTCATGGCAGGACTAAGTATTATCTAGACAGCGATTCTCAACCGAGGGTCTGCGAGTCCTTTCAGGGGGGCTGCATATCCCTGCAGCTGAAACCCAGTGCCACAAGTCCCAGCACTGAAGCTGGCGCCGCGCCTCCCCCTCAAACCGGGAATGGCATGGAGCTGAAGCCACCCCACCAGGAGCGGCATGGGACTGAAGCCGGCCAACCTCCTTCCTGCACCCAAGCCAGGACCCCCAGCACCCTCCCCCCCGAAGCTGGAAGCCACACTGGGAGCCCCCCCAGCCATAGAAGTAAAACTATGCCTATGCCCAAGGGTTCTTCCCTCCCCTCCTTCCCCGATGGGCCCTGGCATTTTTATAGTATGTTGAGGGGGGCCTCAGCAAGAAAAAGGTTGAGAATCCTGATCTAGATCATCCCTAACAGATGTTTGTCTAATGTGTTCTTAAAAATCTCCAATGATGGCAATTCCAGAACCCCCTGGGCAATTTATTCCAGTGCTTAACATCCAACCTAAGCCGCCTTTTCTGCAATTTAAGCCCAATGCTTCTTGTCCTATTCTCAGGGGTTAAGGAGAATAATTTTTCTTCCGTCTCCTTGTAACAACCTTTTATGTATTTAAAAACTTATCTTGTCCCCTCCGAGTCTTCTCTTTTCCAGATTAAACAAATCCATTTTTTTCAATCTTCCCTCATAGGTCATGTTTTCTAGACCTGTAATCATTTTTGTTGCTCTTCTCTGGACTTTCTGCAATTTGTCCACATTTTACCTGAAATGTGGTGCCCAGAACGGACAAAAATTCTTCAGTGGAGGCCTAATCAGCACAGAGTAGAGTGGAAGAATTACTTCTCATTTCTTGATTACAACACTCCTGCTAATACATCCCAGAATGATGTTTGCTTTTTTTGCAACAGTGTTACACTGTTTACTCATATTTAGCTTGTGATCCACTATGACCCCCAGATCCCTTTCCACAGTACTCCTTCCTAGGCAGTCATTTCCCATTTTGTATGTGTGCAACTGATTGTTCCTTCCTAAGTGGAGTACTTTACATTTGTCCTCATTGAATTTCATCCAATTTACTTCAGACCATTTCTCCAGTTTATCTAGATCATTTTGAATTTTAATCCTATCCTCCAAAGCACTTGCAACCCCTCCCAACTTGGTATAGTTTGCAAACTTTATAAGTGTACTCTCTATGCAGTTATCTAAATCATTGATGAAGATATTGAACAGAACCGAATCCAGAACAGATTCCTGCGGGACCCCAGTCATTACGCCCTTCCAGCATGACTGTGAACCACTGATAACTACTCTCTGGAAACGATTTTCCAACCAGTTACACACCCACCTTTTAGAACAGCCTCTCCCCTAGTAGCTTTCTCCAACTTCTGAAATAAAAAATGGTCTCAGATATATTCCAGTAACTTTTGGATAATTTGTGCCCTGCTGTGTTATTTTCCAAACAGATGTCTGGGTAGTTGAATAATATGTATAATAATAATAATTAATACCTTCTTTGGCCACTTATCCAGTACAGTAGAATCAGTTATGGAATTCTGTGGTGGGAGAAAAGGATGGGGGGAGGTGGGGAGCCTATCTCTTTCCATTTTTTCAGGGGACCTAGAATGAGAGGAAGACTGTGCTATGAGAAACATCCATCTTTCCTCTTTGAGGAAATGGGATTGGAAACCAGGCCTGGGACATTTCTTTGCTTCATCAGGGAGGAGGAGGAGGGGAGGAAGAAGAAGAGTATGTGTGGGGAGGATGGGGGAATGTCATGAAAGAGGCCATTGTCTCTCAGGGAGGAGAGTGTGCATGCGGGGGGAGTCTCTCACAGTGAGGATTGGGGTTTGAGAAATGGGAAATACAGCATGCATGCTCAGGACAGATGTCTTTGGGAAACAGGTGTGGGAGGAGATGAAAATGAATAGAGGATGAGTGTCTGTTATAGAGAAACATCAAGAGTTAGAAGGGATGTAGCTGGGGGAAGAACAGCCTTCCCACCAGAATTGTATTGTCTTGGTGTGAG